AGAGCACTTCCAGAGCCAGGGCTTTCCTCAAGTTTGGAAACATGGGGAGCCTCCTTTGGTAGAGAGGGGCAGACCTACTGTTGGTGTCACACTGACCTCACATGTAACTTTGACACATCAGTATGCAGGCTGCCATCTGGCTTAGCACAGTGTAAGTGCAAGGTCGCTGTGAGCAGCTTGGCTGCACCTCACTGATTGGGGAAGTGGAGGCTGCTTTGTAGGGGCTGAGGACTGGTGGTTGGGGTACTACTTCCCTATTCATCTTTCAAGTCCCATCTTGACCCTCCCTTCCCAGGAAATCTCTTAAAATTCTCTTTAATTCACAGCCCTGTCCCCTTTCTCTCCTTTTTATTTTCACTGGCATTGCTTTCACTGGTTTAATTTCTGCCTCCGTGCTGGCCCATCTGCTCTGAGAATAGAAGAATCATGGATTTGCTCATCACTGTCACTCCAGTGCTTAGCACCATGGTGTTGAAACTGAAAATTGACGAATGCTTTCACTTCTTAACTTCCACCACCTCTCCCTTCCCCCCAAACTACCACTCACCTTTGAGGCTGTGACTAAGAAGCAAAAGGCCAATGACCTGAGTCCCCTCTGACCAGCCCCCGAGTAAGAGCTGTGTTGTAAGAGGCAGAGGCTGTTGCATGTGGCATTTGGACGGAATGATGTAACCCTGGCCTTTGAGATCCTCGAGTGGGGCCCCAACATCCTTAGAGGGTCACATAAAATTGGGTGATGCGTCCATTCCTGGCATAACAAGGCCCCAGCCAACTGTTCAACCTTAGTGGGGATTCTTAAACATTAGATATTTGTCTGGGTCCTCTGCATTCTGTTTTCCTGCTTCCTGGATCTCTGCCACCTTTGGTGTTTTAGGTGGTCTTGTCTCACAGCTGAACTGCAATGAATTTCATCCCCCTTAACCTAGTTTTTTCTAAGTAGTACTCATGCAAACCCATTCAGTGTCACATAGCTCCTTAAAGATTCAGCATCAGTGTGTGGGAGGGAGAGATTATGTAGATAACAGCACAGTAGTTTCAACCCACCACTTGACATCAATGGTCTTCAAGTCCTCTGGGGCCCCTGTCCCTGGGCCTCAACTCAAACTGGAGAATGTTCCCTCTCTTCTCTGTTAGCTGCTAACTCTGCTTTTTAGACCTCTCACCTAGGCTTCCCAACCTCCCCACCTCCACCCTGGCTTACCTCTTCACCCTTGCATCTCATTTTTTTAAACTACAGAAGGTGCTCCTTTTTAAAAGTTATGTTACTTTTGGAGATGTTTTCCAAGTTTATTGAAGTATAATGGAAGTACATTGAATTCCATGTATTTTCAGTATGGAACTGTGCTGTTTTGATGTATGCATAGCCATGAAACCACCACACCTCAAACAAAATTTCCATCACTCCCCCTTGAAAGTCTCTTTGCATCCTTTTGAATCCACGCCTTCTTCCATCCACCCCCTGGCAACCACCATCACCACTGATGTGCTCTCTTTAGATATCACTTTGTATTTTCTAGTGTTTTTCGTGTATGGCTCATGCAGTATTGCTATGATTTCTGTCTCAATGGCCCCCCAAAGCCTCATGCAATCATGGGTATTTGTTTATAGTTAAATGTGCTGTTGGGGGTGGGGTCTTGTCGGAAGAAGTGGGTCACTGGGGTCATGACCTGGAAGGCTGTATCTTCCTCACCAGCTCCTCCCTTCTCTGCTTCCCCACTGCCATGACATGAGCAGCTTTTCCTCTACCTCTCTGCCATGTCTTCCTCTCTGGGAGCCAGGCGACTCTGTGCTGAAAACATGAGCCAAGGTAAATCTCTCCTCCTCTAAGTTGTGGATGCCTGGTGTAATATGTTCCAGTGACAGGAAAGTGTTTAAGATAAGTATCCACTTTTTTTCCCCCCCTGGCTTCTTTCTCTTAGTGTACTGGTTTTGAGACTCTTAAATGGTGATGTTTACATTAGTTTGTCTTCATAGCTGAGCAATATTTCATTGTTCATTTATACCCCACTTTGTTTATTCATTCGTTCACTGTATTAGTCTGTTTTCTGTTACTACAATGAAATACCTGAGGCTGGGTACTTATACAGAAAGAAGTTCACTGTTCTGGAAGCTTAAGGGCATAGAGCCAGCCCTATACTTACCTCTAGTGAAGGCCTCATGGTGGACCACATCAGAATGGGGAGAGAGGGGGACATAATATCATGAGATGAGGAGCCAGAGCAAAAGAAGCCAGTCTTGTTCTTTTTGTTTTTTTTTTTTTTTTTTTTGGTTTTTCTCCGGTACCGGGAACCGAACTCACGACCTTGCGCTTGCCAGGCAGGCGCTTTTGCCGCTAAGCTAAATCCCCAGCCCCCATCTTTTTATAACAACTCTTTTAGAATAACTTATGAAAGGTCCTACAAAACTACTGTCAGCCTTCTGAAGGCAGTGCCCCAGTGACTGTCCACTGAGCCAAACTCTAAAGGTCCACAGGTTCCCAGTATCACCACACTGAGGTCTAAGCTCCCAATACCTGTATGGGACCCTAGGGGCAAACTCAGACCATATCTAGCCACAGCATTACTGATGGACCTGAGGTTTTTGATTTTTGATTTATAACAAGTCAACTTACACAGCCACATGTACAAGATTCTGGGTTTCTTTTTCTCTTCTTTCTTTTTCTGTGGTACTGGGAGTTGAACCTAGTGTCTCTGCACGGAGCTGCGTCTGCAAACTTTTTACTTATTTACTTATTTATTTTGAAATGGGACTCTAAATCCTTAAATTGCGTAGGCTAGGTTTAAGTTTGTGATCCTCTTGCCTCAGCCTCCCAGAGTGCTGGGATTACAGCTGTGCAACACCACACCAGGCTCCATGCATTGCTTTCTCTTAAGAAAATGCCTTTAAGTGGAATGATTGTTATATGGTATGTGTACATTTAACTTTAAGAAATTACCACACCGATGTCCGAAGTGGTTATACCAGCTTACATTCCCACCAGCAACTCACGAAAATGTCATTTGCTCTGTGTGTTCTATTGCTCATCAATGTTTGATAAGGTTAGTCACTTTGAAATTGTGTGTGTGTGCGTGCATGTGCATGTGGATGTGGATTTGATATACTGCTGCTTAACTACCTCCTGGCTTCATTTCTTTTCTTTTTTTTTTTTTTTTTTCTCTCTTCACTTTTTTTCTCTCTTGGCTTCATTTCTAACAAGGGGAGCATATGCTTAGACTAGTGGAGAACAAAACCAGATTATTTATGTTGTTCCAGTAAACTATTAATAGTTGCCCTCTTAATTCTAATGCTCTGGTTAAGATACACATATGGTTTCTCTGCTTTTTGCCCACATGGCTGTACCCCAGGCCTTTTGCCCACAGCACACTACCCACATTTGGCCCAATTAGGATTACTGTAGTTTCTCTGTATTTGTTTTGTTTTGTTTCTTTTGAGTCAGGGTCTTGGTATAGGCTGGCTTTGAACTCACTTATATAGCCCAGGCTGACCTCAAACTCATCACAGCAATCCTTCTGCCTCAGCCTCCCAAGTGCTGGGGTTACAGGCGTGCACCACTACACCTGGCCTATTTTTCTGCTTTTCTTAAATTTTTTTTTTCCAGACCATAGCAAGATTTCAGGGAGTGGAGTGCCACAGCCTAGAGTTTGGGTGGGAGTGGTCCGGTGGGGCCAGAGCTGTACATTTTTGCTGTCAAGTGAGAATACCTTCCCTGAAAACCAAGTCAACAGAGAGGCAGGTGGAGCGTGGCTTAGGGAGTGAGGCGATGCCTGAGGACATCTGCAGAGCTGCCTGCAGCCATGCTTGTTCCTTAACTTTGCCCCAGGGAGCCAGGAAATACCTGTCTTATGTCAGAGCTAGTCTGACTTGCGTCACTGTCCCTTGGAATTATGAGGGTCCTAATACCTGTAGCAGGGGACTGTGCCTCAGGAAGGCCGTAGCATTTTCCAAGCCTGGGTTGTCTGGCTTGTACCTTCCCTGTGAGTTGCTTTTGCCACCCTTAGCTTCTGAAATTCAGAGCAGGGGCACTGGTCACATAGTTTGGATCTACTGTTTCAGAGGACGCTAAATGCCCGGGGTCAAAGTATTTAACGGTAGGCATTACCGCAGGGTTTGTTTAATCGAATACTCCAGCTCCAGGTATCCACTCCAGAGTGGCAGGCTCTTTAATCTTTAACTAAATTATCATTTTGCAACGTGATCCAAAAACAGGGGAAGCAGCCTGCATTTCTCAACAGCATTTCTTTCCTTTTAATAATTAGATTTCATACGTAGAAAAATATGCCCTTATTGACTCAGAACCCTTGTTGACACAAGCAGTCCTACCAAAGATCTATTTGAACCCCTGAGAAGTGCGAGCCTCTCTGGAACCTTCGGGTCCTGGAGTGGTAGACACCAAAGCCCTTCGAAAAGGGGGCTTCTTGGCCTTTGTCCGTGCCCCGCAGACGGACGAACAGCAGCGAGGCAGAGCTAGCCTGGGGAGACGCTGCAAAACCAGCGCGCAGCGCAGCTGGGCCTTGAACCCAGGTTTCTCAGAGCCCCGCCTCCTCAGGGCCCCGCCTCCTCAGGGCCCCGAGCCTCAGCCCTCAAAGCCCCGCCCTTCCCCGCAAGCCCTGTCCTTCTCCACCCTCGCACGTCCCGGCCCCGCCTCCCATGCCGCGGCCCGCACTGTCCAGTTCGCTCTTCACCCCGCCCCGCGCGCGCCCGGGTCCTGCCTCCTGCAGCCCCAGCCCCGCCCCCACGTTCCTGCGCTCCCTCTCCACCCCCACGCTCCCTGGCTCCACCCCGCGCTCCGAGGCTCCACCTCCCGCGCCCCAGAGCCCCGCCCCCACGCTCTCGGGTTCTCTCCACGCCCGGGCGTCCGTCCTGGCCACGCCCTCCGTCCCCGGACTCGGCTCCCGAGCCTCGGGAGTTACAGGGGCGTGGCCGGGGCGGAGGCGTGGCCGGGGCGGAGGCGTGGCCGGGGCGGAGGCGTGGCCGGGGCGGAGGCGTGGCCGGGGCGGAGGCGTGGCCGGGGCGGAGGCGTGGCCACGCGGCGGCGCGGTCTGTGGCTGGGACTCCGGCTTTGACACCGCGACGAGCCCGGGCGCAGGCGTGGGGTCGGGACGCGCTCCCTTGGACCTTGCGCCGAGTTTAGTGTAGGCCCTTTCGCCTGGGTAAGCTCAGTTGGGTGCGGGTCCTTTCGCCTGGGTAGGCGCGGTGGGCAGACTCGGCGCAGTTTGGGCGGCCGCCTTTCTCCTACCTGGGGAGCGACGCCGCATCTGTCCTGCAGGCAAGGCTGAGACTCGGCCCGCGCAGTCCCCGGGGCGCGCGGAGTGGGACGGACCTTTGGAGAGCCGAGAGGGGGCGCGACCCTGAGCCCCTCGGAGGCCCATTCCGCGGGCTAGAGTTCCCGGGATGCGCCCTGCTCTATGATGTGCCGGGGCGGAAGAGGGGCTGGGGTTAGTGAGCCGCGAGGCCTCCCCAGGACCCCAGGGGGACTACTTAGCCTCTGTGTGTCTGCGCTGTCGGGCCACTGCAGGTCCTGGGCTCGAACTCCAAACTCCAGCATGTACGGGGAGCGCTAGTGGCAGACGATCGGTTCAAAGGATTTGTGTGTTTCTCTCTTCCCTAGGTGGCCTGGGGAAAGGTGGTTTGGATACTCGAGGCATGGGAGAGTTGGTGTTTGTCTGCAGCAACCTCATCAGCCCCTAAGCTCCGCATCTGCCATTCTTCTGACCTAATAAGCTCTTGCAGGCCTCTTCCCTGTGGTGGGGACACCTTCCTGGCCCTAATCTTGGCTGACCATGGGGAGCACCCTGGGCTGCCACCGCTCCATCCCCAGGGACCCTTCTGACCTGTCCCACAGCCGCAAGTTCAGCGCAGCCTGCAACTTCAGCAATATCCTGGTGAACCAGGAGCGGCTCAACATCAACACGGCCACAGAGGAAGAGCTGATGACCCTGCCTGGGGTGACCCGGGCCGTGGCCCACAGCATTGTGGAGTACAGAGAGTACATTGGGGGCTTCAAGAAGGTAGAGGACCTGGCACTGGTCAGTGGCGTGGGTGCCACCAAACTGGAGCAGGTCAAGTTTGAGATCTGCGTGAGCAGCAAGGGCAGCTCTGTGCAGCACTCTCCCAGCTCCCTGCGGCGGGACCTGCTGGCTGAGCAGCAGCCTCATCACCTGGCCACTGCCGTGCCCCTCACGCCCCGTGTCAACATCAACACGGCCACCCAGGCCCAGCTAATGAGTGTTCGAGGCCTCACAGAGAAGATGGCTCTCAGCATCGTGGACTACCGCCGGGAGCACGGCCCCTTCCGAAGTATAGAGGACCTGGTGAGGATGGATGGTATCAACGCTGCCTTTCTGGACAGGATACGGCACCAGGTGTTTGCCGAGCGGTCCAGGCCCCCATCCACCCACACCAACGGGGGCCTGACCTTCACTGCCAAGCCTCACCCCAGCCCCACCTCACTGAGCCTGCAGAGTGAGGACTTGGACCTGCCACCAGGGGGGCCCACGCAGATCATCTCCACACGGCCCTCAGTGGAGGCCTTTGGTGGCACGAGGGATGGGCAGCCAGTGCTGAGGCTGGCCACCTGGAACTTGCAGGGCTGCTCTGTGGAGAAGGCCAACAACCCCGGTGTGCGAGAGGTGGTGTGCATGACACTCTTGGAAAACAGGTGAGTTCAGAGCCAGTAGGGCCAGTATTGTCACCTGAGGGTGGGCTGTCTTTCTGCTCTGTGATTTTCTGAGCACAGCTGTTAGGACTTAAAGCACATATTGTAAATGTGGTGTGTCTGAGATGGACCTTAGTTTGGGCTAAGTGGAGGTTGGTGGCACCGCTCCGGAGGATGTTGTTTGATTTACAGAATTCCATGGGGTTCATACAGGCAGGGACTCAGCCTGGGAACTGGTGCACAGTTTGCATGTGAGAAAGAAGTAATCAGATTTTTTTTAATTAGTGGAATGAAAAAAATCGTATTTGTTCCACCAAATACGCCTATTTGTGTGCACAAAGTTATCCATAAGACAAGGTATTTGCAAATTCATACACCATCTATATTTACCAAAGTGCTGTGAAAGAATTGCTTTCTCCTTACTTAACCTTAAGTTGGGTTTCAGTGTTACCTCTTCGGACCATAGCTAGAAAAGCCCAAAACCAGCCAGATTTCCTCACTTGAATCAAGGAGAGACTGTAGGATACGCTGTTATCTGAGAGTGTTTACATTGTTCACAACACTGGTCTCTGTAGGAACTTCCGTTAATTCCCCATAAAACAAAACACTGTGTCGTGGCAGGAACTCCTGCTGTTGGAAAAACAGTGTGCGCTATAATGTAATTAACTTTGGGAAGGAAAGGAGTATTTGTATCCGCTCCTTGCAGGTCAGAAATCCTCTGATCCTAATTTGGAGGAATTTTGCCCTGACACCCACCAGAGGTGCTGTGGTTGCGGCCACTCACTGTTGTCCTCTGTACTGGGTGGCTGGTGAGGCTGGCTGGGTGACAATTTGATGACATGAAGTGAGCTCTCAGTGGGAAATCACAGTGCATTGTGGTAGATCATCAGGACAAATTAGCGAGGAGAAAAGCAGGTCACAGCGTTTCCCTGGCACTGTCCCAGTGACACGCTCCTGTCACTGAGAGAAGGACTGCACACTGGGTCAAAGAACTGGACCAAGGAGCCGGGGAGTGTTCTTCCTGAACTGCTGGGTTTTCAGCTTGGCCCCCTAATTCACTCCCGCAAACCCATCTTGTGCACACCCACACACTTGTGCCCGGGGACTTAGTTCTGGCCACATGTATCAGAAATGACTTGATTATAGTCCTTATCCACAGCAGCATGGGTGAATGAGTCAGAGGGGGAGGGCAGTGAGGAACACAGCTACCTCCTAGTAGGCGTCTTCTCAAGGCTCAGTTTGGGGTAAAGAGGGATGAATCCGGATCTGAAGTTGCCTAGTGGAAGTGACAACCCAGGCAGCCCTTGCCTGTTCATTTTGTTGGTGTTTTCTCAAGCATGGCTCCTGGACCAGCACCATCAGCTGCTAATTCAGAAACTCCGGTTCCTGTGTTTAACACCTCTCCAGGGGCTTTAGATACACACTGGAGTTTGAAAGCCACTGTGCAAGGAGTTGGGCGATCATGGCTCCTCTGGGGTTCTTGTTAAAGCCCCTCCCTCTGTGCTGCCTTGCAAGGCCAGTGACTTAGTGTTCCATGTACTTTTACACCCTCCTGGATGGTTCTGATTGTCCCTAAAGCTCAATTCTGTGATGTTCTTGCTGGTCAGGGTGGGAGAGGCTTATTCAGGTTCTAGGACATGTGAATGGGAAGGATAGAAAACAGGAGGCTGAGAACCCAGTGGACTGGTGCACACCTGTGGCCTCAGCAACCCAGAAGGCTGAAGCGGCTGGCCTCACTCTGCACCACAGAGATGGGGCCGCTAGGGGTTCACGGAGTGGAGCTCTAAGCACTCTTGTCTAGTGTGGGTTTGCCCAGCTTTTTTTCTATGGATTTCCAAGAGAAGTGATGATTTGTTGAAGATGTTTCACTGCTGTCTCAGGCAAGACTAGGAAAAGCTCACTCAACTCTAGCAGCATGTAGAAGGGGCCACCTGTAGGTACTGGAAAGGTGACCTCCGGCCCCATCATGTCCTCACAAGCTCCGTGTACCTGTTCACAGTGCAGTCAGTATCCTGGGCACTCCTAGCACACTGTTAGTGCCTGGCACACAGGAAGTAGTAGGCGTAAGGTCTGATCCCCCACAGAGCTGGGGTGGGTGGGTGCATTTGCCTGTGTGGCTGTCTTAAGGCACCAAAAGCTGTCATAGAGTGGATCTCAGGTCCTTGGTGACAGACACCAGTGACCGTTCTCCAAGAGCTGTGCACTTATCCTGATCCACAGACATCTCTTACATTCTAGCTGTTCCTTTTATTAGCAGGAGGAAATAATTTAGTATGAGCAAGAATGGATACAGGTGATTTTCCACAGGGTTCTTATTTGACACATGTGTACACATAATAGAAAAAGTCCCTGACTTCTGGATGTGCCTTTGCATTTTCTCACAACTTTCACACCCATTTGATTTCTCCCTTACTTCTGGGAAGTAGATAATAATTGCTTTTATTAATGATTCTCCAACTCTGCCTGAAAAAAATAAAAAGCAAAGAAGGCAGTGACTCGTGTCTGAAACACAGCTCATTAGTGACTCAGCTGGGATGAGGACCTAGACCTTCTAACCTTAGACCCATGTGTGTTGCAAGCACGTCGTGATTGGTAAGTGCAGCATCTCTGTCCTACCCCTGGGGTAGATGTCCCAGCCCCCACTGAATCAAGGCCACTTGCCAAATCACGTGCCAATCAGTTTCTTAGTCCATTGTAAAAGTATTTTAAAGCAACCCTTAGATAGTTTTGCAAAGGGAATAGCCATTCCTAGTTGTCCTTTCTGCGAGTTTGCTTTAGCAGGTGACTTTTCTTAGGCTAAAGGGTACCAGTGTGGGTGGACAGCTGAAGTCTCTTCTTGCCCCAAGAGGCCGCTGCTTTGGTGGATGGTGTGTTTTGCCTGTGAAGCCTGAGGTAGAACAGCATAGAGCTAGGTAATTATAGAGTCACCAGGAGCCCTCAGGAACACTGTGTTGGTAGCACAGAACTAATAGGTTTCATCAGATTCTTCTGCCAAACCTCAGTCTTAGGCAGTGTTCTTCCTTGTTCAGTGTTTGTGGAGCAAGACAGAAAGAAGAATGCTTTTGCTGATTATCCTTGCAAAACATCACGATGGTGCACACATGGAATGAAGACTTTTTAAAACTTTTTTTGCTGAATAATTATTCTATTTTGACAAGACCCTTTGGACACTGAAAGTCTACTCCATGAAGGAAATGACAATCTCAAAAGAAAAAAAAAAAAGGAGATTTAACCACCTACCAGCTCATTTTCCCCACAGCCTATGTTGGGAGGAAACTCCTGTGTCAAAGTCATTAACTTTAGTTTAAATCTGCTTTTCTGCCACAGCTGCAGTATCAAAGCATAAGGTCCATTAGTGCCTGGCTACATGCCCTGGTTGTGAAGAAAAGAGATGCTGGTTTATCAGACTTGATGAGTGGGATCAGTCTAGACACAGCGTTGGACTTATTCATTGAAAAATATGTGTTGAATGTCAGCTGCGTACATGTACAAGCTAAAGTCAGCATGGCCCAGTTATGGAATCAAGTATGTGTGGGTCCATTGATATGGCCTGGCCTCAGAACAGCCTGGTCAGCCAGGTTTTATTGAGCTAAGTAACAGAGCACGATGATATCAGGTTGTATTTTCCCCATATGAGTAACAGGCTCATCTCCACAACTGAAGGATAGACAGACACAGCCAGATGTGACACCTGGAAACAAAATACTCAGTAATCCTCTTAAAGCAGAAATGGTGAATTAGGATACCTGTGAAAACCAAGGCCCAGAGGGATTAAATCTCCTCACATGACATTTGGAACCGTCAAATGTGGGAGCCGTGATTTGAAGCCAGGCATCTGCCCGATTTCACATCTGGGACTGGGCCTGCCTTTTCCCAAACTCCGTGTCCTGTTTCTGACCCAGGCAGCCTGGCGCCCGCCCACCGTTTCCTCCATGTAGGGTCCTGGGCTGGCCAGCTGTCAGGGCCTCGGGAAAGGAGGGGTTCACCTAGACTCCAGGGACCACCCTGGGCTCTGGAGGCCTCTGCTCTCTTCCTGTGTTTGTCCTTGCAGAGGATGGGGCTCATGGCCAGGCATCCAGGGGGTGTCAGGCCCCTTCCACCCTGCCCTCAACTGTGAGTCTGCAACCTTGGGCTCAACTCCAAGGTGGAGTTCCGGCTTTTTGAGCCAAAGAGCTGTGGGTTGGTTCCAAAGAGAAAGGTAGTCAGCAGTAAGACTGCTGTGGCTTCCTAGGAGGGGCTGTGTATGAAAGGGAGCCCCGGGCAGGCTCCACAGCGGCTTTATTGCACTAAACAGAAAGGACTTATGTACTTTGCTTTTTCAACAAAGTTAGGCCCATTTTGGTTCTGACTGTGGAGGTTTGATTGTGTTGGTTCCCCCAGGGTTTATCCATTCCTTTACTGTTCATTCTTTCATATAACACTTTTGGGAGCCTTCTCACACCAGTGTGTGTGTCCAGCTCTGGGAACAGAATGGTGAACAGGCTGAGGCTGTGGTCTTCTGGCTTCCATTCTAGGTGGGAGACAGACAGGCCTGCAAGCAGATAAATGGCTCTGAGTGGGGATGAGTCCTGCTAGCACAATGGAGGGGCACTGCAGAGAAACCTGCTTACATAAGAGGGGTCAGGTAGGGCCTGTTCTGGCCACTGGTGGTGAGTAGAGCCATATGGACAGGCACAGCGTGAGAGGCCTGTGAGGGCCTGGCCCAACTCTGAGGCCAAGGCCTGGAATGGCAGGGCCTGAGTATAGAAAGAGGCAGGTCCTGCTCTTTAGGGCCACCAGGCCTCTTGTGTAATAGCAGATGGGGCCACAGAGGGATAGAGGCAGAAGCTGGATTCCTGCATAGAATTGCAGAGAGTCGCGTGGAGTTGCATGTGGTAGCTTTGCACAGGACTCAGAAGTGTTACCGAGGCAAGAGAGGGGCCTGTCTAGAGGTGAAACTGCATACTTGCCTGTGTATGAGAGGGTATGCGGATTAGGCAGCGGCCTGTCTGAAGTGCCCTGAG